AAAAAAAAATAAATAAATAAATAAATAAATAAATAAAGGCTTCCTGGAGGAGATTCTCTGCTGGGTCTTCAGCGAGTAGCTGGTAAAGTAGGCCGATACGAGCAAGGGCACAGAGCTAGGAAAACTAAGTGACAGTCAGAGAGGAGCGCAGGCCAGGAGGGGGCACGAAGCCAACAGGACAGGTCCTGGGCGAGGGAGCCATGGGAAGACCCCTAGCGCCCTGTCTCCGCCTCCCTAGGTCTCCTGGGCCGCCGTGTCGCTACTGCTGCTACTGCTGCTGCCGACCGCGCTGCTGTCGCCCGGGGTGGCTGCACAGCCCCTGCCCGACTGCTGTCGTCAAAAGACGTGCTCCTGCCGCCTCTACGAGCTGCTGCACGGCGCGGGCAATCACGCGGCCGGCATCCTCACCCTGGGCAAGCGGCACTCCGGGCCCCCGGACCTCCAGGGCCGGCTGCAGCGCCTCCTGCAGGCCAGCGGCAACCACGCCACGGGCATCCTGACCATGGGCCGCCGCGCAGGCGCAGAGCCAGCGCCGCGCCCCTGCCCTGGGCGCCGCTGTCCCGCCGCGGCCGCCGTATCCGTCGCGCCCGGGGGACAGTCCGGGATCTGAGTCGTTCTTCGGGTCCTGTCCTGGTCCAGGCCTCTGCCCTCTGCCCACCCAGCGTCAGCACCCAGAAAAACGGCAATAAAGACGAGTCTTCGTGCGTGTGGCTGGTCTCTGTTCCTGTGCGGTCGCGTCCTGCCCTTTTGAGGCGGCAGTGGGTCTTGCGAAGGCGGGAGGGCCTGGGAGCCTGGCTCTGGGGCACCAGCCTTAGCTTTTGCGTGGCTGAATTGGAAACACTGTTGGTTGGGGAGCTCCCAGTGCCAGGCCCTGGAGCACAGAGAGAACCGCACACTTGCATGCTCGGATCGGGACATGCGGGACTCCCATGATGCTCTCCTAGGCATTCTGTAGCGGGAACTTTACCCAGAGACACGGAAGGGGAAGGAGAGAAAGAAAGGTTGCACAGGTCGGGCACAGTATTCATGCCTGTAATCCCAGCGCTTTAAGAGGCCAAAGCAGGAGGATCGCTTGAAGCAAGGAGTTCGAGACCAGCCTAGGCAACATAGTGAGTGAGACATCTCTCCAAAAGTTTTTTTAATTAGCCAGGCATGGTGGCACTCGCCTATAGTCCCAGCTACTCAGGAGGCTAAAGCGGGAGGATCATTTGAGCCCAGGAGTTTGAGTTTGAGGCTGCAGTGAGCCATGATTGGGCCACTGCATTCCAGTCTGGGCCACAGAACGAGACATCGTCAAAGAAAGAATAAGACTGCATAGAGGAGCAGAATCCAGCTAGGAAGGGGTGGGAGTTGATCCTTCAACAATGAGTCGTCCAGAATGGCTGGCTGCACCATGGGGTATAGGGTGTGGGGGGTGGAGAAGCTCGGGAAAGGGACAGGGTTACAGTCAGTGCAGCCCAGCTCGCAAAGGCTCTCACAAATCATCAGGCTTTGCACTTTAACTTGTAGGTAACAGAGTTAACGGGACATTCTTAAGCAGGGGTAGAACAAGGTTTTACTGCAACTCCAGCCAAAGACACCTGTTACTGATGTTCCCAAAATCCATGTGTTGAAGTCCTGACCCCTGGCACTTCAGAATGTGCAGAATGTGACTGTATTTGGAACTAAGGTCCTCACAGATGTAATTAGTTAAGATGAGGTCATACTAGTGTGGAGTAGATCTCTAATTCACTGTGACTGATGTCCTTATAAAAAAGGGAATTTGAGGCCAGGTGCAGGGCTGACATCTGTAATTCTGGCACTTTGGGAGGCCGAGGTGGGTGGATCACCTGAGGTCAGGAGTTCAAGACCAGCCTGGCTATCATGGTGAAACCCCATCTTTAAAAAAAAAAAAAAGAATTTGGGGGCCGGGCGCAGTGGCTCAAGCCTGTAATCCCAGCACTGTGGGAGGCCGAGGTGGGTGGATCACGAGGTCA